TGTGATTTCGAAATAATCTGTGACTAAATTGCATATAATTGTGACCGTAACAATTATCGGAATTGGAGCAGTCGTCGGAATTAAGCGGCGGCAGAATGGTCACCGGAGTAGTCGCCAGAGCAATGGGGGTGGGGGTGGGGGTGGGGGTGGGGGTGGTGGTGGTGGTGGTGGAGGTGCGGTGCGGTGCGGTGGGGTTAATTATATTATATTACAGTTAAATATTTAATTTAATATAATAATTGTGAAATATAATTAATTAATTCAAAAAAAACCTGATTTTTGCAATTTTAAATTTGTGGACCTGATTTTTGATTTTGGTAAAGTAAATGCCCGATTCATAAATTTTTCCCTTTCTTCAAACCCATACAAGCTGCAACTCCACAGCCACCGCACCATCTCCTCCACCAAAATTCCCTTCAAATCCCTCTCTCCAATTTCTTCGAAAACTTTCACCCCACCCCCTCCTATTTTACTCCTCCTTAGGCCGGATTTCGAACACAGATAATGGTTTAAACACACTAGCTTCTTTTCTCCTGGCAGTAATAAAAATTTTAGTGGTACTAGTAGCAGTAAAAATTATGCTATGCCATCGAGAAGAGGCTAGCTGTAGTGCTCATGAGTGTATTTCACCCATCATATTAATGCTACTTAATCTTGATATTTCGTTTTTGAAAAGTTTTAGAACGTTTTAATTTGTGTTTTCGTGTAATTTCATAGGTTAGGTTAATCGGTGTAAATTGTGTAAAACTTGAAGAAAAGAGTGATGTTGGTTGAATCAAGGAAAAGTTGATGTTTGTTTGATGAAACTTGATGATTGGGGGATAAATTGAAAGACAGATGTGAATAACGACAAAAAAACGATGAAATTCAAAGTTTGAGGACTCAATTGCAACTTTTTAGTAGTTAATTCTTACCACAAAACGATAATTGAAGATTACTAGGAATCATCTAGATGCAATTAGAAGTCAAAAAAGATTGAAATATGATCAAAATATTTTCACAAATTAATTTTCAACCACACAAGTATATTCTAGATTTTTAACTGAAAATTGAGATTCATTTTTGACATAGTAAACGTTCGAATTGAAGAAAGTTATTTGAAATAAAGTTGTAACCCTTTGAGTTATCTTTCAACGTACTTTGAATCATCTCAATCCAATGTCGAGAGAAAAAGTTGTGATAAAAATATTGAAGAATGCAGTGCAGATTTTTCACCTGAAAGTGGCGCCACAATGCCACTATTTCTAAATATCAACAGCATCTAGGTGTCGTAGCGTCGCCTAGAGAAAAAAAAGGATTTTGAATATTTTGTTCTCTTTCTAAATCCAAATCCATTCACGATGATATAAATAAAACCTTAACGACCACTTTTCAAGGATAATTCATCGAGTCAATAGCAACAATTCAAGGAGACAAGAAATCAAGGAGACGAAGGAAAATTGGCGAAGAAGATTGATTAAACAATCCAAAAAATAGTTTTATCTTTCTTGTCTTCATGTTATTTTTTATGAATTGGTAGATTTCATGTCCCATGCCATGAACTAAATTATTCTTCTAGGATTTGATAAGTCAAAACTTGAGGATATGATATGATTTTATTTTAGTTATTTTTATGAAAATTTTCAATTCCATTTATTCGTCTTGTTGATTTAATGCTTTCAATTCATTGACCATTAATTGAATGATAAGATACTAGCCAATTCCGGTACTCGAGAGATGAGAATTTATGCTCGATCACAACAATAACACAACCTATATTTTATGGGTTTCGAGAGAAATTGTAGAATCTATGAAACTTGTTTCATCTAAGAACCACGATCTTGATAAATCTTGATTTTAACTCGAAATAGAGATATTTGAATTAATTTTTACCCGATACTCGAGATAGGGGGTCGAATTATATTAAGGTTCTTGCTTATAAATATGGAAAATTTATTAGAGATAACTAGGTTTTTTGAAAATCATATTTGATAGTTGAGTGAATCATTCCATAGGCTATCCTATATTGATTAATTTGTATAAATTGTATTTATTCATTGAATTCGTCACAATCATCTCTAGATTAGATAAAACATTGATTCAAAAATTCATTCATCTAGATAAAATAGAGGCTACACGATTATAGTACATAGTATAAAATTAAATTTCAATCCTTGTGGGTTAGACACTCCAATTTCATCCATATATTACAAAACTTGACATCGCACATTTACGGTATAATTTACATTGTGGAAAATGCGTGACAAGTGCCAGTGTATGCACTAAGCAACGGTTTGCAGGAATTCGTGTTGATCTCAGGTGTAAATGCGGGAAAATGTCTTTGACTGTTTTGCTTTAGTCAAGCTGATGCTGAAACCTTTCTTAACCAAATGAAGTTCATGGATTCTTCCATGTGCACCGGCTCGCAAGTTGTTGTTGTTGTTGCATTGAGCAAGGTATATATATATTTTTTTATCGATAAATATAAATTATATTGATCAAAAATCATGTACAAGTACACCGGGCGTATTCGGACAAACAAAAATCAAGTACACATACAAGAACATCGGGTATACCCAGACAAACAAAATGAAAAGATGTACAAACGACTAGATCTAACGACCTAATGCCATAGACTTAAAATAAATCAAAACATGCAGATACAAAGAAAACATAACTTTGTATACATGTGTTTTAATCCGTCTAACAATGCTATAAACTTGCGGCCTTAGATCCTAAAAAATTGTCCTGTTATGTGCAGTCCATAAGTGGTAAATAGTGCTAACAAGTGCAATTTGTTTCGCCTTACTTTGCCAAGATATACCTCGAGCCTCATTTTTAATCCACTTCAATGCACTAGGTAGTGTAGCATATAGCCTCTAATTCCAACCCACACATGAATCTTTTTCCCAAACAAAAGCACTAAATTGACATGTGAAGAAAATGTGTTGCACCGTTTCAATCCCAGCACCACAAAAACAACAATTTTGGTCTATTTCCAAGTGCATAAGTTTATCATTGGTAAGCAACTTCAACTTAGCTCCAAGCCACAAAATAAAAGCATGCTTTAGGTGACATAATGATTCCAAACAGTTGATGCCCATGCAATTTTTTGCCCCTTCAACCGGAAATAATCATAGGAGGCAACCGCAATATTAAAGGTGCTTGAGACAACCCATTCCTCCAGCCTGCGTGCACCTGCGTGCGTGCGTTCAGGCTGTCTGTCAGTTTGTGTCCGTCCCCCCCGCCTGCCCATCTCCGTTTGCCTATGTTGCTTATATTTATATTACAAGTGTACGATATCG